ACAACCATCATAATATCTAAGAAATTTACAGACATATTCATGTCTTATTCAGTGGAGAGAAAATAAGTGAGAAAATCTTATAAGGTATTTCTCCCCAGCCTTATTAGCGTGCCTTCGTGGTGTGGTGGTCTGCACGCTGGGACGGTATTCCAGAGGTCAGTGGTTCGATTCCCGGCAAAGGCGTTGCTAATTTTACATCCTGCGTGCTTCAAAAAATTTAACCTAATGTCTCTACACTGGCTCCCGAACTAAAAAGGGTGTTGGATGATGATTCTCCAGACCCAGGATTTGGTGATTGGGTCCCCTAAAGAAAACCCAAGTCGCTTTTTAAAAGGAGGAGTATCTAAGGTATTTCTCCCGCCTTCCAAACGTGCCTTCGTGGTATGGTGGTCTGGACACTGGACCGGTATTCCAGAGGCCCGTGGTTTGATCCGCTACGAAGGGTTTGCTAATTTTTCATCTTGCCTGCTTCCAAAAAATTAACTTAATGTCTGTACAATCTAACTAAAATAGCGACAACATTCACAGCCAGATATGTAGTGATTAACCATCTCTTTAGAAAGATGATTTTATGACTACTGACAATAGAAAATTCGTGACTTAAACATTAATTCTATGCTTTCCACGTGCTTTTGAGAACTGCTGAGAACTATTTTGTATCTAATTGTCAAAAATCGAGAGAAGTATTCGAAATTGTGCTTTTGTTGCCTTTCGAAAAAGTCTGTTAGAAGAACACGACAAAGAATGGGTTGACGTCATCAAATTCCTCATTTGATAATATTATCAAGAAGGCGACGCGACAATTGAGTCACATCGCTACAGGAAACAAGGTAGAATTAAAATTTCGGTATGGAATGGAGGCCTTACAGAGCTCCCAAAAGTTGGAAATTCAAGCAAATGTCTACTGCCAAGATCAAGTACACGTAGATTTGAGACTAGCATAGAATTTTTCTCTCGAGGATAATCTCATAGTGAGTCTTCAGAAGAATTGCCCCAAGTAGTTCTGAAAAGGAGACGCAAAATGCTCACTTACTGTGCTTCATGACAAAGCATTACCACATACCTCTGGTCAGACACACATCCTTATTAAATAATATTGTTAGAATCATGTGGATTTTCACATTCCTATTAGAAAACTTAGACCAAATGAATTTCGTCTTTATCTGCACTGAAGATGTTCCCAATTTGACAACAATTTGATGACGAAAGAAATGAAAATTGCTGCAGGGACAAACGGCAGATTTCTGTGATGTGTTATACAGAACCTTATGAGACTTTATGAAAATTGCCTCAATAAGAGTGGAAGTTAATATAATCGGAAATATGAGAATGAATCAGTAAAAACGAGCTTAAGACTATTGTGAAAAACCTGTGGAGTAACCAGAAGGCATCGACAGCATTTTAGCAATCGAGAATCACTTACAGCCATAAGAAAAACGATGAACATTAAATGAGTATTTCTATAGAAATCAGGAATTGTGTCACATCATCGAAAGTTAAAGTGTACAACCACATGCATTGCTTCAGCACATAAAATTTGATACATAGACTCGTATTTCAAGGATGAACATTCAAGAATTAAGAAATAGACTCAACATTTTTTTTTTCATTCTCAGTGGGTTAAAGGATGAATATTACGCGGCAGGAAAAAGATGAAGATGATATTATTTGAAGATGAAACTCAAGAACATATTAAAATTTCCACAAAAGAATGTCAATAACAGCTGCGTTAGCAAAAACAGCACTACAGCTTGTTAACAGAGGTAAGCTGCATTCATATGCAAATGCCATAGAAATGTCATAGAAATGTCTTCTATGCAAATGTCATAGAAGCGTAGTCATATTGCATAAAATGTGGGAGTTTCGTTCACACCTGCAAGACAGGATATATGGCGTGGCCAATTAGGTTGCGTTCAGACGGCGAGGTTAATGTCACAGAGGCACAAGGAATAAAATGTGGGAATTGCATTCACACCTGCGACACAGGGTCTAAGCTGCACCCACCTAAAGATAAGTTATATTTGAGTATGCGTGGATGTGTCTATAGTTTTACCGCTCTGTTTTTCCATTCAGGTTTCGAGAGTTCGCTCTGATTGGTCGACACTTATCCCAAGTCAGCATAAAGTTGAAAACTTCAAACTTATGCCAAGAGACCTAAACCAGATTTTGTGACGTAGCACAGACGGGTTGCTTAGCAACGCAGCTCCGCTTTAACCACTTATGCCCTTTGTACCGTCGTCCGAACGCAGCTTTAGAGAGGCTAAATTTGCGTATGTGTCTACAGCTTTCCCGCTCAGGTTTCGCGCGTTCGCTCTGATTGGTCGACTCTTATATCAAGCTGGCATAAAGCTGGAAACTTCGAACTTTATGCCAAAACCCCTAAACAGCTTCCCTATAATGAACATGAGTAAGTTCTAGGAGGTGTTGCCCTAAACCAGTTTTTGTGACGTAACAATGTCTGGTTACCTAGCAGCGAAACTCGACTTAAACCAGTTATGACATTTATACCCCCGTCTGTACGAAGCGTGATAGTTCCTGAGGGTTTCGTGAATCAACAATATTTGAAGACCATTGATTCATTTCATTCAAGCTGAAAAGTGAAATGAACTTTGGCTAGAATTATAGCATTTTAATGTTAAAAAATGAAATATAATATAAAAGTGCTCAGAAATTTTGCAGTTTTCTTTGTTTGTTATGTTTTATATCAGTTATATAATTTCTCTAAGCCCCATTACCATCAAACAAATATAACTTCAACTCCTAACTAACAAGTACTCATAAAAAAAATATATTCGAAAATGTAAGCATAACGTCGTATACATTTATACTCTATGAAGAAAATTTATATAAATAATTCACCTTCGAAAATGTTGCTTTTAATTATAAAGCCAAATTTATATAAAATGTTGACCGAACATAATAGATACTTATTCTACATTATTTAAAAGGTAAACTAAAGCTACTCGCCATTCTATTGAGGCAATGCTCTAATTCGATAAAGTTAAAATAAAATCACTCATTATTTAAATCAGTTAATTAACGCAACTTTAAGTCAACTGGTTTATCCGTTTCACTAACCGTATTTTCCAGAGTATTTGAATAAATTATTTTAAATATTTACAAAAGGATAGCGTAGTATTTAGAATAAGTAAATAATAGATTAAAAGTGCCTTTCGGAAAGACAACATATTTTCTTCACAGGAAGCGTATTTGAATATATTCGCATATTTTCAGCTTATGCATGAACATATAAATTTATTGACTACCAACTAATTAATCATAGAGCTTTCATAAGCCGATGATTTAACAGAAAAGTCGATAATTCGATTTATTTTATTCCTTGCGTGCGCTTATTAGTTTCGTTATATTCGCTTATCCATTTCCTTACATAAAAAAACAGAACAAACAAATTATTGATGATTCCATTATTTCTTTTCTATTTTATGATTTAATGGGATATTTGTTTTTGCATACTTTGTGATCTTCAATTTACACAGATTAACCATGTTTAGAGATGAAAAAATAACTTTATTTTTTAGAAAAAAATGCAATGTTTGATGAGATAAATATATTGTTTAAGCTGAAATAGTCATGGTCCACATAGGTGAAGCTGAAATAGTCATGAGGTTTCGTGTGGTTTGGTTTATTAATCATGACGTTTGGTTTATTAATCATGACAAAGCACTAGACGGCTATCTGCCTAAGGGGAGTGATGTCTTCGTGGAAAACTTTCTATAGGAAATTACGTCATATACATGTTACACAGGGAAAAAACCACAAAAACGCCCATGCCACCAACCCGTTCTTTGGGATTTGAACTCTGGTTTGAACTACCAGCGTTCAACGACTTCACTGCTCAATCGCTGATGGGTCCTGAAATAATCCACTAGATATAAGCAGTGATACAAATAACTAGGCGTAGCTAATGTAAATAACGTAACAAGCATTATAATCACTGAAACTTCTATTTATAAAAATTGTTAAGTATGTCAATAATTTATTATTGTAAACCTAATTTTATACATTATTTATATACCTGTTAAATTCTTGTAGTAAACTGAGAGTCATTATATGAGATTATGGTTGCTACTTAGTATGTAGGCGAGGATTTGCTACATTATATTATAAGTTATTTTTCCCGCTTTCTTAGCATGCCTTCGTGATGTAGTGGTTAGCACACTCGACGCGTAATCGAGAGTCCCGTGGTTTGAGTCCCGCTGAGGGCATTGCTCATTTCGCACATCTCCTGCTTCGAAATAACCTAATGTCTCTATAGTGACGTCCGAACTAAAAAAAAAAGTGGTGGATGATGATTCTCCACCACCAGGATTTGGCGACTAGGTTTCCTAATCTCCAGTCGCCCTGGGGGAGTATGTAAGGCATTTCCCCCGTCTTCTTAGCATGTCTTCGTGGTGTAATGGTTAGCATAGTCTGCGCGTAATTGAGAGGTCCGTAGTTTGAGTACCGGTGAAGGTATTGCTCATTTTTCACATCTCCTGCTCCGAAATTACAATATTGAAACATATGAATTATACTCCAAGTAACATATTTTTATCTTCACCGATCTATATAACATAGGTAAGGGATGTATTGTTTCCGGCTCAAAATTTCAATAGTGAATTTTAAGTGAAAAAGCCCGAATTAGGGTCCCCACAACTTTATTTTTAGAGTGATGTCTGCCCGTCTGAGTCTGGATGTATATAACGACTTTTCCGTCCACAATAACTCCTATATCAAACTTCCAAAAATTTCTGTCTTCCCTATTTAAGCTTTCTGCATTCATATAACAAATTGACAGGATTTTCAATGAACTTTCACAACGGAAAAGGTTGCAACTTATCATTGGAAGTGGGGCTTTATTTGAAGGCCATAACGGTATTTAATAAAAATATTTATTAAAATATAATCCAAAACTTCTCATTTTTAGGGCTTGGACGATATAGTGGTTACGGCAACCAACTGCAATATCAAAGGTCCCGGGTTCGAATCCCGGTGCAAACATGGCTGTAATTGTTCGTGCCTTCAAAGGAGGTAACAGCCCACTATTAGGTGTTCACAAAATAAACTGGCCACCACTTCCGGCCTTAGTAATGGCCAATCTTAAGGCCTTGTATTAATTGCAGCGCTACTAAAGTTAAAATACGTTGATAAAATTATTTTCAACTAATGTAAAATTGATTTCCATGTTTCACAAATTCTCATGGTCTTTCAAAAGATACTTTGAGTAAATAATTAACCTAAAATATAATTGTTAATGGCTGAAAATTATAATATCAGCGCAGGATTAAAGAAAAAAGTTTGGACTTAAATATTTGCTGAATTGTCTGATTAATAATTTACTACAGCATGTTATTTAACTCGAAACCACAAAAATTTTAGTCAAGTCATGTAATGAAATTTATTAATCGAATGAAAAAATGGAAATGAGAATAAAATTCGAGATCCTTCGAGTTTAATAAAAGGACATTAAACAAACGCATAAAGAAAAGATATGAGTTATGAAGTATAATATTAAAATTCTTTTACGCATGAAGATCACATTATTAATTTAAAGAACGGACATTAGAAGCTTCTGAAAATATAAACAGTATCAAGTCAATTTTGATCTAGCACTTTTATTCTATTCATTCAAAAAACTTCCAGAATATGTAGTTATCGAATATTGGTTCCGAATCCAGGCGTAAAATCTTCACCTCATTTAATAAAAAGCAGGAAAACACTTGATATTTCATTAAAAGTAACATTGTTTTGGAATAAAATTAACCACAGTTCGAATCAAATAATTTTAACTCCCAAGGGATGTAAAATATATGAGAAGAAAATATTATGAAACGAAGAAAATGTGATGTAGGATATTAAAATATTTCAAACTAATAATGAAACCTTCAGCGTGTTTTATTATCATTAAATTTATCTTACTCAAATAATTCTGTCTCTCGTTTTTAATCCCTCTTTCTCATTTTCCTTCAGGCTGGTTTTACGTGGCATTGAAATGTTCATCTTCTTAGTATTTGCTTAATTTTTTTTTCATGGTACGATTAAATTTTTAATGAGAAAACTCTTGTTGAAAGTTTTCAGCAGTCTCTTTCAAGACACGGAAAGTTTTGTGCAATTTTAAAGAAAATTTTCTTTTCGTATTATTTTTAGTCACATTTAATCTGAGCATGATTGTGAGTTACAGATTAATTTTTAAATGTTAGAGAAATAGAATATTATTTTTGCAATACAGGGAAAAGGAATAGTATTTTAAAATGATTTTAATAAACTTTAAAAAATCGTAGAAGTATTTTTTCATACTAATAAATTTGCATAAATTTCATAAACACTTCGATTCTGAGGATTTAACATATTGTATTTATCTGATATTTTCCTTTTACATTAATACTGCCAACTTTTAAACATAATGTGAGTATTTATATGTAAAATTATCATTGGCTGTTGGCTGTTTGAGTTTTAGTTCCCTATACATCATCAGAGTTATCTAAGAGTGATTAATTTCGATATGACGCAATGCAAATAGAAATTACTATTTTTAGAATACAAAGGGGAAATTAATTTACGTTGCTAATTTTATCTTTTACATATTCTTTATTTTCCTTACATGTTTATATATATATATTTGCAAAGAAGACGAAAGTTCTAAAAGCTTTTGCTTAGAAGTACATTTGATACTGTAGTTCCTGAGTAAAACGTTACACCATGTAAAAACAATAATATAATACTAAAGAAGTAACAGTTATCGTGTAAAAACTGAATGTAAAAATTATAAAACGAGATAACCTCAAAAACAAAAAGGGATGAGAAAAACCAATAAATTTTAAATCACAAATTTTAATTTTTTTAAATGATGCATGCAAATAATCAAAAATATTTCAAATGCACAGAAAATATGTACAAAGAATTGCAATAAATGCTAAATTAGCCCAACTCGAGGTTTAAGGCGGACTTATCAAGGAAAAAGCGTCACAAAACTCGAATCCATTAGCGCGTTTCGTCAAACGAAAACAATTGAGACTGAAAGCGGAATTTCATTAACACAATAATCAAACTAAGGAACAAGGAAATCATGTCGTACCCACATTAGATATTTTTATTTAAAAATTTTAATGGAGAACAAATTAACATTAATTAATTGTTTCAATTCATTGTTGGGGAAAAATTGAAAAAAATGTTTTCAGTGAAAACAAAAATAAATGAATAAATCGGGAAGCTTGCACCTAGTAAACTGTCAACAAATTTAGAAAACGCAAAACAGCAGTTTAGTTCTTTCGTTACACAAAACCCCTGATAACGATACAGCAAGAGATGTAAATTTCGTGTTACATGTTTGATTTGTGCATATTTTGCTCCCACTTTTTCTTGCCGTTTGCCATTGGGCTTCTGATTTTTTTTTTTTTTTTTTTTGTTTTTTTGCTCGTGTTTTATTCAGAATGGAATATGTTGTAAACTTAAACTGATTTATTTTATCTTGCGTTATTAACAGCACTTATTGATGCTATCAGCGCAAACCTTTAGTTTAGGTTTTAAACTGCTTTTTACTTTGTATTCTTTCATATATATACAGAGAAAGAAGGAGAGAAATGGTAAGATGATGGTTGTAGAAGAAGGAGAGAAATGGTAAAATGATGGTTGTAGAAATATTTGATTTATTTTCTTTTTTTATATAGGCTGCGATTAATGGAAAATGCTTCTCACTCAAAATAACTGACAAAGAAACTGTTTATAATAATTTTCTTCATGTATCTGCAGTTCAATCTGTTTTAAAACTATGAACCAAATAAATGTTAAATCAGTAATTTATTCTTAACCATGAATCATTTTTCATTTACAGAAACGCCCGAAGCTCCTACTACAGTAATAGGCGTAGCTGGCTCACCTGTAAACCTTCCATGTAACATCACTCCACCAGGAGAAGAAGATGCAGAAGATGCCATTGCCCTTGTTCTCTGGTACAAAGATGAATCCACCACGCCAATCTACAGCTTAGACGCGAGACAAGGAAGTTTAGACCAGGCACGGCATGCAGCCAAAGACAGTCTAAACGCCCGAGCTCATTTAAGTATATCTGAAAGGCCAGCATTTCTTAAGTTGGACCCTGCGATGGTAGAGGACGAGGGCGAGTATAAATGCCGGGCAGATTTTAAGAAAGCCAGAACACGATACATGTCCGTCTTCCTCAAGGTTGTAGGTGAGTATATGTTATTTTGTAGACGAATCTAACCCGTTCACTTATTTTAAATGCAAACGTTTCTGCTATGCTATTTTGTCAGGAATACATAAGATACCGCATTGGGCTCAAATATCATATTTAGTTTTCAATAGAAACGTATTTACATTTCATTGCATAGGCATTTCCTGTCATGAGATTTCAAAGTGCAGCCACAGTTTTGCAAATGTAGGTATTTAAATTGCATATACTTACTTTCCGATCTGTGAAAATTTTGGAAATTTCATCCATTATCAAATATTATTTTGAAAATCGCTGAAATATTTCAGTCAAGGCGATGTATGGTATGGGAGTTGTTAAGTTATAAAAGTGAATGTCTGAGAATTTTCTAAGATTTCTCTAGCAAATGGTCGAACTGTGACAGATAAATTTTCTGAGTATCCTTTCTTAAACTTAAAATGATATTTAAAATGAAGTGAGTGCATATAAATGATTAAATTGTGGCTATAGAAAAAATCACTAAATAGAAGCATTTTGAAAGAAATATTGCTGTTTTCACTTTAGAATAATAAACGATTGATTAAAATTTTTATTTTGGGACATTTCTTTACAATGTAAGATAAAAAAAAAAGTTCAGTTTGTTTATGCGAATAGTACTCAATTTTTTGTGAATAAATTTTTTATGTCTGAGAGCAAAGTAAAACTGCGCTAATATAGAATATACTACATTTTCTGTTCAATTAAATGCATATTATTATAAGCAAAAAACAGACATAAATTTCTATTTGTCATTAAATATCATTATTTGTAAACTTTACAATATCTTTGATGTCATACGTTTAAAAATTGCGTCTTCAGTAATCTGTCAATTTTGAGGTTAAAATTCTAACACTTTTAAAGATGAGGGGAAAAAAGTATATTTTTAAAAAGACGATTTTACACTTATTTCGATTTAATTATTTCGAACTATCAAATAATTAAGTTTTAAAGTAATGTCATATATGCACTTGATACATAATGCATCATTATTTACCATAGAAGAAAAAACTGTACAATATATTGTACTAAAAGCAGGCATTAAAAAAGACGAATATCTAAGTACAAGTATTTCGTTATCACTGAATCATTTATAATTTCGCAAGATGTTTGTTAAGAATTAACAATACATATTTATCTTGTAAGCTTATTTTATATTTTTAACTAAATTCACCTTTCATGAAATTCATATCTATTAATTTGAAAGCTGTATATTCCCTGCAAGGCACTAAAATTATTAATAACGAAAGCTGATTTTTTTAAAAATTTGTACATATTAAAATTTAAAAAAATAAAGAAAACATAACTATTCTAGCAAATTGCTAATTTTTATAAATTATTTCTGAATACAAGTATGAGTCTGATGTACTCTTATGCATACATACTGGTGCGTTTGTTGTTAAAACCATTGCATGTTTATTGCATATACATACATATAAAGAATTTAAATTTAATGTGCTTTTTATTTTCAGTTCCACCTGGTAAACCTGTTATAACAGACCGAAATAATGAAGTATTACAAAGCCTCATAGGCCCATATAATGAAGGAGAGCCATTAACATTAATTTGTGAAGTGGTTGGGGGTAAGTAAAAATAATAATAATACCAATAACATTAATTTATATGATTTTCCTCTGATTACATAAAATTTTTGAAAATTAGTTTTATTGCAATAAATGTCTATATGAATCCACTTGTAAACCTGCTGCCATTTTTAATCTACATATCTATGAATTATCAAAACAATTATACGCACTTTATACCAATATCATATTTTAATAATAGTGGCAATAATTAATTGTATTTTCACAAGCAGGGAAATATTTTGGGTACGTACATTGTGATTCAAAAATTCAAAAATGAGCAAATGACTCCTTTTACACGGGAATATTAAAGCTGTATTATTATATGTGAAATGTTTTTGTTGCTCTGAAAATAATAATGGAACATATTTGCGAAATATTCTCATTCATCTCCGAATGTTTGTAGAGTTCCTCACTTTGAAATTACTAAGTTAATGTTGGAAGTGAAGAATCTTAAGAACTGATAAGCGAATAAAAGCTTGAGTTCGTGTGACAGGAAACAACAAGATAGAACCTTTATTATTCCAAATGAGGTTTAACAAAACTCCGTCTTGGATTGTACAATAAAGCCGACACCCGAGCGTAATAATAGCTTAGAGAGTAACCTAAAAAGGCGGACGCGTGCAGCCAGAATACCTGGTATCTCTGTCACTAAGACCGAAGAACTTCGCGGTTAAATAGCGCTCTTCCTCATTACGTATTCAGACGTGATTCAAAAAGTAATTTCTGGCCGGAATTGATATTAAGAATTGATACGAAAGGAACTTTAACTCAAAATTTAACTGTTAATAAAATTAATATAATCCTTACATGTTAAGGCATCGCCAATGAATATTATGTACCAAATATAAGCGTATATACGCTTTTGTCCATATGTAATTGTGTCTGTATGTCTGTTTTTTATATGTAATTGTACCTATGTATCTACTAGTATTATCACAGATCTTGCCACTGTGTAGTTAATATACATCTATTATGCACTGAATAATCATGTGCCTAATGTGTCTGTATCCAAAATGTCTTTATATATGTATATGAATTTATGTTCTGTATATGATAATGTAACTATGCATCTGCACATTTTATCCTGTGACACGGCACCGTATCGCAAAAATCAAACTGGGGTCCCATTCTAAAATTAATTGCACCAATTATCTGTTCAGCATTGTATTAAGTAACTATTGTTTATGTAAGTTAAAGTAGCACTTGCCTAACGCTTGGGTACCCACTGATTACTGTGTACCTAATACACGTGTTTTAATATATTTGTACATTGGTTAATGTACATAGGAAACAGCACAAATAATCCAGTAGCAAAACACTGTACCACACAGTACTAATCTAGGATCTAACTTTTAATTCACTGTTTTAATTACTTATTCCAGCATAACATTGCGCACCTAATATTTCAGTATGTACTTGTCTTGTGTATCTAATGATAATGCTTCAAAGGATCATAGTATACTCAAGATATGAGTACACACGTTATGTACACATGCTACCGTATCCATGCTTTTGCATACACCTTGTAACATGGCAATGTATTATCCAGTGTCTAACATTAATTAGCTTTAACGTCACTGTATGAAGTACCAAATTTGTATGTATGTTTATGCATTAGTGTATTAGCATAATGACCATGCATGGTTATCTAGATAAAGGTGGACGTGGCGCTATACCGATTAACCGTATTGGTAGAGGGGTCGGGCACACGTCCTCCGCCGCATGTCGCATTTCGCATGTTAAGGCAACCAGCTATATCTTCTTAATACAAAACTTATCTGTCTGAACGATAGGATCAACAACAGAAGCCGTGAAGAATAGTGTTGAGAGTTATCTATCTGAACAATAGGACCAATAATGGAAGCCATGAACAACAGTTTTGATTAACATTTGTTGTTTATAAATTCTAAAATCGTACTATGAGTCCGGAGTATGATGAAACATATTCCTTCACACGTTTTAGTTTAATTTTAAGTTCATATTGAATTTTTAGTGAAACCAAGGCCAAATTTAAAAATTAACCCAAGTTGCAAGAAGTATACACTGCAAAAAAAAAAAAAAAAAAAAAAAAAAAAAAAAGGGACAGTTCTATACTTCTTTTCTACTGGGCCAACTGACGAAAATCAAATTGCGTTTTTTATGTCTCGAAAACGCGACTTAGGAATGTATATTAGATTTATATACAGCGTTGTTCTATTATATGTATTTTGACACAAAATCAGGAACTTTTTCTGAAATGACATGCCAATTTGTTTCCATATTTCTATTCTATGACTCAAATTATGCCAAACTGCTAAGTTTTGTAAAAATCGCACGGGTGGTTTCTAGTTTGGTATACATTTATTAATCTCTCTTTTTGCGATTTTGCGTTGAATCACTATAAATGTCCGTTTCACTTTTCAAACTGGTGCCACCAAATGTTAGAGTCCTGCATTATATTTGAAGAAATTAAATAATCTGCATGAATGTAGGCATATTTCTCGCATTGTGATAAAACAATGGTACATAGACTCATCGAATTTTGAATGACGTAAACCTACTGCGAATATGGACATGTTGAAGCCCAAATTTGAAATTTGGAATTTGTTTTATTATCGATTTCATATTTTGTTAAACTTTAACGAAATTTGAGTAACAAACTCAACCATTTGAAAGCCAGCAATGGCAACAATCTATGGGGGGGGGACAACCTTTTTCTCCAGCGTGCGGAACTGTGTATGGGAAATTCTAAAGATAAGCTCATTTTAAAATTATTTTCCGACATTGTTTTTGAACTGAAATTTATGGTTTAAGTGCGAAGAACATGATATTTGATAAATAAAGGTAACACACCAAAACGTTAAAAGCGCCCCTTTGGACGTAATTTAAAATCCGAAAACTTGCAGTTTTTTTTTTTTTTTTCGTCTAGTTTATGATTTATTTTTAAAATTTTTATTTTTAAATAATTTTTAAATATTTTTCGAAACCAATTTTGAATTACAATCAATAAAATTTTGCAATCATCTTAAAGTAGATGTATTTCTAAGCATACCTGCAAAAAATTAGAGTTATTTATTAAAAATTGCCAAAGATATACGTGAACATATATATTGGCGCATTTTGATATTTGGCATATGTGTTGAAAGCTATAACAAGGTCAAATACTAGATCAGAAGGAGATACAGAGATACTAGGGAGATACAGAACTGTCCTCCCTTTTTTTTTCCCGCAGTGTACGTCACCTTATTTAAAACCCTTTATGTCCCAAATTGCTTTATTTTTTGAAAAATATATTGTAACTTTTTTTAATTATATTTCTTTATGCAGGAGAAACATCTCACATTAAACTTACAAAGATGTTATAAGGTTCTCATTGTTTTTTTGTTTTTTTTTTAATTCAAAACTGGGGCTTAAAAGTCTCATCGGGACTCAATTGAGCAATTTTATTGATGGAATTTTAAAGTCCCGTCTGGAAATAAAGAGTTAACGAAGTAATACAATAACCTGCATGCCTGACATGCTTTGACTGAAGTTCCATGGGCTTATTTGTAGAAAACGCGTTTACTTGTGCGCAGTAATATTTCAGATAATATTTAATTTTGGATACCAATAGTATAAAGACTCATAAATACTAAAATTCATATGATATCATTCTTCCCATTATTTTCTGAAATTCAATAGATGGCCTGGAAGGAGACAGATAAGCATCTGTGATGATAGTCATTGTCATTGCAACCAGACCTTAGTATTATATTCACAGTTCGTCTTATTACCTACTCTTATACTGCAACATATCTTTTTTTCTCTTTCACTGACGTGAGAAGTCGCTGCAGTTTAACAAAACAAATCTGATCTCTTATTCTCCTTGTTTAAGTGAAACGTGATCCACGAGGTGTTGTTTTGTCTTGAGACCTGAAGACGTATTTCGCTCGGATCACGTATTTCGCACTATGTTGAAGTCAAGAGTCACGTGGAATCCATAGAGAGCGAGTTTACCGCATATGGATTACATTTGTGAGTCTGTTTTCTCTCGTAGGCAAAAGCGCTTCGTGAATCTTTTCAGGGTGGAGTAAAACAAAAGGAAAATGTTCAAAGGATACCTTTTGGCAATCAATGCTACGGTCGCCCTGAAGATTGAGAAAAATTTTATGAGATTTTACAATTATGCTTTGCGTTACAATAAATGGATTATTCGAATGGTTATAGTATACCTATAGACATGGTGAGAAAGGCTTTTCAGTTTGTTTTGTATAACTACATAGCAGCAATTGCTCTTGTAAACAGAATTCGGGTGTTTTTACGTTTGTGAGGCAACCAATGATTGGTTAGTGTTGTATCTGTCAAGGAGTCAAACGAACTCAAATCAAAGAATAAAGAAGGAGCTCTAACAGAGTTGAGACCTTTTAGTGTAATATTTTTCCTGTAGATGGGTAGCTTATCAGCATTCTGAGGTATTGCAAAATATTAGTGTTGTATCTGTCAAGGAGTTAGTGTTGTATCTGTCAAGGAGTTAATGTTGTATCTGTCAAGGAGTTAGTGTTGTATCTGTCAAGGAATTAATGTTGTATCTGTCAAGGAGTTAATGTTGTATCTGTCAAGGAGATAGTGTTGTATCTGTCAAGGAGTAAGTGTTGTATCTGTCAAGGAGTTAGTGTTGTATCTGTCAAAAGAATTAGTGTTGTACCTGTCAAAGAGTCAAACGAACCCAAATCAAAGAATAAAGAAGGAGTTCTAACAGAGCTAAGACCTTTTAGTGTAATATTTTTCCTGTGGACGGGTAGCTTATCAAGCATTCTGTGGTATTGCAAAATATCAACAAATCAGAAGGCTTTAAAATAGTTAAATGAAAGCCAATAGTAACTTGCAAATGTGTTAATGGCATGATGAATTGCTCTAGAGAAGCACTGATCAGGGTCAACAAGTAAAAAAGATACATTCTGAGATACTTGCATTTGTTATCTGTAACACAAACTCTGTACTCTTCGTTTGCATACGCTTTAAATTTTCGTTTCATATTC